AAGAACTGAAGCTCCCAGATCTCTGAGAACCCCAGGAAGACGAACTCTGACACCCACGTGAGGTTCCCCGGTTCCATGGTGTCTTCTGCATGCGCCTAAAGGAAAGGACTGACTGACACAAGCGTGTGAAGTGACTCCTTGCCCTATTAGCATGCAGGGCTCTGGCTGAGGTGTTCCTTACGATGGGCATCCTCATGTGAAGACCATGGTACCACCTACCTCATCTCTGAAGAGCTGACAAGTAAGTTCTGGAATACACATTCATGAATTAACTTAAAGCTGTCCAGAAGGATATGCAACTTTCCCTCCCAAGATCCACACAGTAGTGAGAAGACAGAGCGAGATGCTCTAGAATGAACTTCAGGTATTCCTTTGTTTTGGTTTTTCCAGAGTTAAGCAGGAATGACTAACTTATTTCTTTGGAATTTCAGTTTCAATATATGAAACTGGGAATGGGAAAAAGCTTTCTTTCCTGGGTTTTCTGTTGGGGTGAATGGAACAACACATTTGAAATTCTTACAAGCGGTGCCTGGAATAAGCAGTACCCACAGTGAGCCCTCAGTGAGCCCTCAGTGTGTCCCTGTGTATGCCTGTCTCCCCCTTCCAGCCTTTAGAATGTTCACACAGCATTTAGACAGTCACAATATTAGCAGACTTCTCTGTGTCTGCGTTTTTCAGTACAAGTCATAAGGTCCTGGGAACATGGATCTGGTTGGTCCTCAAAATTCATTTGTTCCTAGCAGTGGGCTTCTTGGTAATTGGTAGTACTTCTTTAGGATCTGCTGTTGCTTGTAGGGTGGGTGAATAATTATAGAACATCTGGATCCTTGTAGAGAAGCCTCTGCACACAGTTAGATATTTGGTATGGAGTTGCTTCCCTAAGACAGGCGCCTCTTGCTCGGTGAGGCTCCACAGGAGGTGAGTAGACAACAGTGAGACAGAGATCGAGAGGTCCAAGCAAGTAAGCGATAGACGCTGGGTGCTGCTGGAAGGGATACTTGAAGCGCTTTTGAAAGGATAGCACTTTTACAAGATGTTACAAAGGCAAGAAAAGGGAAGGAGTTGGATGCGAGGGAATGGGAAGAGATGAAGTAAAGAAAGATTAAGAAAAAGGGAAACATGACGCACACAGCAGGAGAAATCGTGGGAAATGGAGGAAGCAGCAGGCAATGACGGACACGGTTAGACAGGCTGGTATAGAGAGGCAGAGACAGAGTGAGGGGTGCAGGCGCCTAACTCCCCTGACCACGCTCACTCTTTCCAGACTCTCTTCTCTGGTCTACTGCAGTCTGTTACTCTGGAGACCATTATCTTCTCATCCCTGACACCCCCGTGTTTCCACCTCACCCTCACTTCTCGCAGCTGCCTTCTGCGTGAGTGAGACCTTCGTGAATGTGCATCTGACTACTTTCAATGTCTGTCTAGTGCCCATGGCTTAACTCCATCTCCAAGTGGCTACCCGCAATGCTCTGAGCATAGAGCTGCGATAGAAAGACATGTTTACACACACACATGCTACTCCCTGTCAGTATTTCTTATGAGGCTACAAATGTCACCTCCATTTACCTTTGCAATTGTGTCACGAAGGACATATTTGCTATCTAAAGAATGGACGGTTTCCACATGGTTATTTCCATATCCTTGATAGTAGTTCCTGGTTGTTGTTGTTGTTTTAATACCTGTGTGAGGGAATAAATTCTTCATTTCTGAGTTCCAAAGACACTTTAAAAACACCCAACCATGGCACTTAGAATTTTCTCTGTGTCTCTATCAACTTCATTTTTAAATTATTTAACACTGTGAACCTAGCAGCAACCAAAGCAACTTAGAAGTTGTTTCAACAACATTAGCTAACTTCGTGAATAAGCCATTAATAAGGTAAGCTTGTTGTATGTGGCTGTATAGAGAATTTTGTATTGATTTTTCCTGGAAAGATGATTAGTTTTCAGCACCCTCCCTCTGAATCCTAGGGCCAGTTCTATGCTCAGATGTCTTCACCTGGGCACCCGCTATTAACATCACATCATCCACTCCTGCTGTGCCTGCAGTCTCTAGACAGATTCTCCTCAAGTGCATGCCACACTCACTCCCTCTTACTGGCAAACATATGCAAGGTCCTTTCAAACGCTGACTATGTCCAGGAGGCAAACCCCTTCCACTCACCTTACCTCAGCCCAGCAGGGGACTTCATGGATAGAGGTCCTTTGCCATGGCTTCTGTTTTCCAGTCCTCGGCCATCCCTCAAGTGTGCTACATGTGTGGGACCCTAGAGGAACAGGGATTATCCCAGGGGAGACCTATTGGACAGGGCTCAGGAGGCCCAGCTGGGCTTATTACTACTGAGTCCTGTGCAGCGGTATGGGACTTATTATAAAAAAGAAGTTTCTCTATGTCTCAGAGCATGTGTTCTCTGAGGGATTTTCTTTGTGGGCCAAAAGCACCAAAAGCATTGAGAATTTTGGAGATTTGTGTCATGTACAATTTGCTGACCAACTTCCGAAAGGACAAGAGGGTCTTCAACAGAAGGAGATTCTCTGGAAGTTTGAGAATATGTCTCCTAGCCTAGTAACTCTTAACCTTGACAGATCTTCAGTACTCTGAATTTTCTTATTGTAAAACTGTTTAATATTTTATTTTTAGTTTAATCATAGTTTTATCATTTACGTTTCTGTCTGTGAACACACACATTTGTTCACACACATACACACACACACACACACACACACACACACACCATTGTGTGCATACAGAAATTGAGGATAACTTCCAGGGGTCAGCCTTCTTCTGTCATGTGAGTTGTCAGTCATTGCAGGAGCTGCCTCTACCTGATGAGCCATCTCACTGGTTCAAAACCTACAACCACTCCCAGGTTTATACAAAGAAATATAATGAAGAGTGTTGGGGGGGTCATCGAGAAATACTTGGGCATTCTGATCTATTGTAGGTAATAAGGACTTTCCTTCACTGTTCACTTGGGATAACACAAGCTTAGAGACGTTTCTGATGGAAAGTCATCCTATTTAAATTTCACTCCCTGTTGCAAATTGCTAAGCGTTTTGCTAGTCTCTTCATGGCTGCCTGCATCTCCTGGTTCCTGAGTGTGTAGATCATGGGGTTCAGCATGGGGGTCATAACCGTGTGGCTGATGGACACAGCCTTATCCATGGTGAAGGGGGTGAAGGGCCGGGCATACAGGTAAATGCTTGGAATGAAGATCATAGACACCACAATGATGTGGGTGGTGCAGGTGGATGCCACCTTCCTCCTCGCCTCCCCTGAGTGCGACCTCAGCATCACTAGGATGACCAAGTAAGAGATCAGAAGGAGAAAGAACCAGATGACATCCAGCATCCCACTGTTGGAGATCATGAGGAACTCCAGGAGGGAGGTATCCGTGCAGGCAAGTCTCAACACTTGGGGGACATCACAGTAGAAGTTATCAAGGACATTGGGGCCACAGAAGGGCAATGGAAGCATCAGAGACAGCTGGATAATGGAATGAGCAAAACCTCCTACCCAGGCAGCCACCACCAGTCCCATACAGAGCTGGGTGTTCATGATGGAGACGTAGTGGAGAGGCCGGGAGATAGCCACAAGGCGATCATAGGCCATCACTGAAAGGAAGAAGACCATGGCCCCTCCCAGGAAGTGGAAGAAGAAGACCTG